TTACCAACTGAAGCTCCTCTCTAAGTCTTAAAATCTCACGATCAGTCATTTTGGCATAAGCCTCATGGTTTTCCTTGGCCCACCCCAAGTCCTTAGAAAACTTCATAACATCGGCCAACATTGTAGCCTCCTTGATAGCATAAACTTTAGCACCTTCGCTCAACTCCTTGTATTTGGCGCTCTCTTTCCTAGCTTCCTCTAAAGAGAACCAAATCTTTTCTCCAAAGATTGAACTTTATTATCCAAATTGTCAGCTCGCAAAATGCAAACCTCATATTCTACTTGTTGATCATAACGTAACTTCAACCACTCAAGCAACTTTTAGGGTACATTTCGACTGGTCACACCCTCGGCCCTCACAAAGGCACACTTTTTAACCCCTTTGATCTTTCGAGAGGCAGCTGCTTAGGAGGGGAAGTGATGGAAGTTTTTGGCATTTGAAGCTTGTAGAAGGGTTTGCACTAAAATTAATCCACACTGCAAAAGAATAATTGTAATTACCCAAAAGCAAAATTAGAAATCAGAAGACGAAAAAGTCTTTAGCGCATAAACTCACCCAAGGTAGTCTTTATCCCAACGTTATAAAAATTCGAATTAGAAGGATGAAGCAATCTCTCTTTTTCATGAGCCTCAGAAACGTTGCCAACAATAGGTGCCACTAAAGTGCAAAGATCAATAAAAGCCCAATCATAAAGTGGACCTTACTATTTACCTATTTACATATATCAAACTAAAGCAAAGAATAAATGAACCAATACTCACTAGATTGCCATAATACTGAGGCATAGCAATCGAGAAGTTATGATCATTAGGTTGAAGCCCTTAGTTCCCTCGACAAAGAAAATAAAATTCTTTTCAATTATGCACCTTTTTAGGAGTAATTACAAATTTCAGGTACGATTTAGGAAAACAAGGAGAAAATTAATAATACACTTTTTGTGGGTTCGCCTTATTATCCGATTTTACGGGATGATAAATAAATTGAAAAACATCCGAAGATAACTGTCCCTCTAAACCCGCAAAACTCCAAAAACATAACCCATCCATATGAGCTCACTCATTAGGAGTAAGTTGGGTGAAACAATATTAAAAGAAGAACGAATCTCACAAAAGAAATGATAGAATAGAACTTTTAAGTCCCATTTTCGATTTGTAAATAAATAGCTACATAATCAGTGGGAGGACAGTCCGACTTTGGAATTGCACAGGACATACTAAGTCAATATCCAGAACATTAAACCTATATTGAATCTCATCCAAGTCCTTCTCAGTAAAATTGGTAAATATTTTCGAGGCTTCAAACACAGTACCATCACCTTCACTAAGGCTACCAAGTTCACTCAAAAGCTTATGTACTTCGTCCATATGTTGAGAGCCACCTCCTTGCCTAATAAATTCTGGATTAACGCGAGAACCGAAATGGGTAACTGTAGAATGGGGTAATACCAGCTATACAACACTTCTACAAAAGAAGAAGCACCTGATATATCATCCCTTAGTCTAGAAATTTCAATCTCAAAATTTTATAACATATTTTGGGAATCACTTTGAGAGAAATGCAAATAAAATCTCAAATCTTCATTAAAACGTAGATACAAAAGCAAGATGAAAATGGCAGTACATGTACCTAAGGAAGATATTTGGAATATTAATGAAAAAGAGCAGGAGACGAAATTGGCCAAAAAAACACCTTAAAGAGTACGAAGCACAGCAATCAAAGGCGAAAGAGTAGAAGAAAGGATAGTAGTTACAAGAAGAATGACATATCCATAGATCTAACAAGAGATACAAGTCATTGAATTGTGTCAGTAATAATCTTAATCATTTAAAAAGCAATTGGACAATCTTAGCTGTCGAATACTAAGTACACAAAATTTCAAAATGAACTGATGAGGTCGCGCATAATTGACAAATACATTAAATGTGCATAGGCCATTAACATAGAAATGCGCAAACAGACCTATAAATGCACGCAAAAGACTACAATGATAACACATCCTCTAAGCATAGTAACGTCAACCACAACAAATAAAGAAGAATATGCTTGAATAATTTCTTAACTGTAAGTTTGCAGCTTAAAAATAAATAGTTAAGCTCGAATCTCGAGGACTAATGTGTCAACCAAAAAAACAAAAAATAAAAATAAAAATTAAATAAGTTATAGATTTAAACTATGATAGTTAAATTCAGGTTTCAAGGACTATTTATTGAAATAAATAAATACAAAGGAATAAGCAAGCGAGCTCATGACCCACGAACCTGAGAACATGCGAGGCTAGAAAGAAAGCATAAGAGCTCACAAGCAAAAAGGGCGAACTGTTTCAATTATAGTGAGCATCAAGTACAGTGAGATTAACAGTTTTCTTTTCTTTTATCTTTATTTTGTTTTATTTATTTTAATTTTTTATGGGGATAAATAGCAAAGTTACCACTTTGTCCTCATCAAATTTGGTCAAAATCCACTTCTCCAATCATCTAACTGTTAAATGGATGGAATATGTCCTTGTGTTGCAACAAAATGAACAATTTGGGATTGTGGATAACATAAAGTGAAGATTGACGTAAAGTGCGTGGCAAAGTGAGTAAGGTTTGGGACCATTGCTGCAATTATCCCTTAATTATATATAGAACCCTGGATTATGTTCATGTTGAGCCTTTATTCCCTGCACTGTTAAAACTTAACAGAACAATGCAAAATATTGATACATTCACATGTAGAAGAAAACTTCCTCACCATTTCAAGAAAGCAAAGCCATAAGGTCAACTGACACAAGTGCCTAAGAGCATGCTTCAAGCACAATAGTGGACAAAATAGAACAGTATAATTAACAAAATTTTAACTTATATTTCTTTTTTTCATATGATCCAAGACTATCCAATCCTCTCCCTAAGTGATCGTGGAAACAGTGAGGAGATATGAATCAATTGGCAGTAAGGAGAGACCTATTTAAACCTAATTGAACAACTTTTTTAAACAAAACACAATTTTACACGTGTGATTCTGAAAATGTACACTTTCGTCAACTATAAGGAGAGAGAGTCCTGATCATAAACAGAACCTCGTCGTGATCTTCATGTTGAGCTCATACAAGATTAGCGACCAGAAAACCTTAAATCTTCCGTTAAATACTCAATATCAAAATGTAAGGACACACAAATGAAGAACTTGAAAGTACACAGTCTGTGTTAAGTCTAGATGGAACGCGTGACTTCTTACCTTTCATCCTGTGTATAAATGCACCAATAGAATTTCACATCACAAGAACGAAGTCAGGAAAATCAGTACTTCCCCATTTTCACTGTTCCCAATCAACAATTAGGGTGGAAAAAATCTTTATTGACCAAAAAATCTATGTCCACGGTAGCTTGGCTCACATTAAACATTAGGTGGAATTATTAGGCTCTCCCCAGTTCACTTGGGAATAAACCTTCTATATATCATCTCTGCTATCAAACTGATGATCCTGAAAACTTCAAGGCTTTCCTCCACCCTAAATGCTATAGATCTCAAGTGGCAATTCTCTTGAATATCTTCTCAAGCTAATTGAACTCATTCTATTTTTCCACCAAGAAATGACTGCAAATAAAAAGGAAAACGAAAATATAATTTTCAAGCATGTTTGGAATTGTTAATAATCAGTTTAAATTGTAAATTGATGGAAATGAATTGTTGATAAGTGAATAGTACTTGTAGGTACCACAAAATGTGTGGATAAGAAGCAGCTAGATCAATTATAAGCAGGAGCCAAACAAGGACTTAATATTCTATCCCGAACAAGTATAGCGGTCTTTCTTTAAATATCAATTATACACAATGACGGAAATATTATTTGAGGACGAAGGAGATCTAAACCTCAAAAGCTGATCATGTCAAAAGACACTGAAAACTATTAAGAAACATCGTCAACATTAATGGTAATGACTTGAATCCATGAATGTTGAATGTAAAATAAAACACAAGTGAAATGTACAGTAAAACTCCAGTATCAATCCTTACAGCTTTCTTACGCAACATATAATTAAAGAAATCCAATGTGCATGTAACGCCCCGAACTCTTTTTCATTATTATTGTTATTTTTAAATAAAAATGAGCTCAAGGTGCTACCAAAACTTTTCTCTATCTAATTTAAGCGGAAATATATCGAAAATATTCGATTTCAAATTATTAAACAACATAATAAATATCTTGCATAAATATTAACACAAAGATATTCTTTATATAAATTGACGATTGTCTTTTCTAGAAATTTTACTTGATGACCACATTAGCATCGCTCCGTCAATCTTCCACGCGTCATCACGACCCTTTCTTATCTGAAAATATTGTAAGAGTGAGTATTTTGAAAACACTCAGTAAAAATACGTGCACATCTTTTTTCACATGATATAAATATAAAAATAGCATAACATACCAACATTTCTTAGGAATTTCTTAAGAATCCCCATATCCCGTAGGATTTAATTTCTTTTCTTTAACCTGACGGTCTATCCCGAAGGATTTAACTTCTTCTCTTTGACCTAACGGTCTATCCCAAAAGATTTAACATAGCATTCGACCCGAAGGCCTTAAAGCATCTCATGCCAAAATTTACATATATATCAAGGAATAAGAATTTACCACTTGCACCAAGTATTCTTACCCCAATTTGATATCCAAAAATTTATTTGAAACTGACTTTGTGAAAAGATATAAATATTATACTCTATTAAATTCTAAAAATATTAGTAGTGTGGAGTGTACAATATACTATTGTTGTAGAATATAATTTTCATCTCAAATACACCTATTTATATATTCCACACACGTAACATCAAAAGACATTTCACGTTAATGGAAGAATAATGGAGTTAAACCACCATAAGTGGACGTTTATGATTACAATTACAAATTGAAAAGTCACCTGATCATTAATTGAGGATTAATGTAATTAAACAACTAGAATTTAATTGAAAATCAATTAAAGTGAACGTGATGGTTACGGTTATAAATTTGAAAGGACACCTCCACGTTTATTTAGAGTTGATGTCATGGTTATGAAATGTATTATAAATTTCTAAATCAATTAAAGTGGGTGACATTACGTAACCATACAATGAAACTATTCATTTGGTTATTATTTTATATTATATTATATATGTATTAATATAATATTTGAGAATGATAATTTTCTTTCTATTAGAATAACTCGGGCAAGTGACCGTTAAGAGTAGGTAACCTGTTCCCTGTCTTTGTTTCTATCTCATCGTATCAGATTTTGTTTTGCGAGATTTAAAAATCACAGTCAATACCTCGGTGTAGGTTCGGGATAATCCTTTGTTCCATAGCCCTGGGGCTATTTACAACTAGCCAATTAAAAATTCTCAGATGTACTAACACTGCATCTTTGATGCAGTCATCGATTCTCCCACCCGAGTTATTCTAATAGAAAGAAAATTATCATTCTCAAATATTATATTAATACATATATAATATAAAATAATAACTAAATGAATAGTTTCATTGTATGGTTACGTAATATCATCCACTTTAATTGATTTAGAAATTTATAATACATTCCATAACCATGACATTAACTCTAATTAAACGTGGAGGTGTCCTTTCAAATTTATAACCCTAACCATCACGTTCACTTTAATTGATTTTCAATTAAATCCTAGTTGTTTAATTACATTAATCCTCAATTAATGATCAGGTGGCTTTTCAATTTGTAACCGTAATCATAAACGCCCACTTATGGTGGTTTAACTCCATTATTCTTCCATTAACGTGAAATGCCTTTTGATGTTACGTGTGTGGAATATATAAATAGGAGTATTTGAGATGAAAATTATATTCTACAACAATAGTATATTATACACTCCACACCACTAATATTTTTAGAATTTAATAGAGTATAATATTTATATCTTTTCACAAAGTCAATTTCAAATAAATTCTTGGATATCAAATTGGGGTAAGAATACTTGGTGCAAGTGGTAAATTCTTATTCCTTGATATATATGTAAATTTTGGCATGAGATGCTTTAAGGCCTTCGGGTCGAATGCTATGTTAAATCTTTTGGGATAGACCGTTAGGTCAAAGAAAAGAAATTAAATCTTTCGAAATAGAGAGTCAGGTTAAAGAAAAGAAATTAAATCCTACGGGATATGGGGATTCTTAAGAAATTCCTAAGAAATGTTGGTATGTTATGCTATTTTTATATTTATATCATGTGAAAAAGGATGTGCACGTATTCTTACTGAGTGTTTTCAAAATACTCACTCTTACAATATTTTCAGATAAGAACGGGTCGTGAGGACGCGTGGAAGATTGACGGAGCGATGCTAATGTGGTCGTCAAGTAAAATTTATAGAAAAGACAATCGTCAATTTATATAAAGAATATCTTTGTGTTAATATTTATGCACGATATTTATTATGTTGTTTAGTAATTTGAAATCGAATATTTTCGATATATTTCCGCTTAAATTAGATAGAGAAAAGTTTTGGTAACACCTTGAACTCATTTTTATTTAAAAATAACAATAATAATGAAAAAGAGTTCGAGGCGTTACAGCGTGGTATCAGAGCAAAGTTTAGCCGGTTCTGTAGACCAAGTATGTTTTTTTTTTAAAAACAAAAGAAAAATGAAAAGTTTAAGGTATTCCATGGTATCATGCATCCATCCATCAATCTCATCCTATGGCCTAGGTATGTTTATGTTTTAAGTTAATGATTATGTTTATGTTATGATACTTTGATATATTAATATAATATTTGAGAATGATAATTTTCTTTCTATTAGAATAACTCGGGCATAACTAGCTCGAAATTACTTTTTCTTAAGCTCAAATTATATTGTTTAACACGAGCTACAAAATGAGTATAACATCATTATATTTTCATCAACTTTAAAAATACTTAAATATTCTATTCAAATAATTTTCTAAAAGTGCTCGTAACTCGTAAGCAAATAAATTATTTATACGAATACGCGAGTCGAGTCTACCACTTCAACTTTGGACTTTTAATATAATGACAAATCTTCACATTTTCATTTGCTAAATAATAAGTTCAGGTTCACATAGTAAAAAAAAGCGGGGTGTTACAGTGCAAATATTGAATTTAGTGATAAATCGTTTGTCAAAGCATACATTCCAAAATGCTTTTTGTTCGCATAACCTCGATTCTTGGGCTCTATGCTTCATTTGCATATATCTGCTCAAACATTCTTCATGCATGTTCAATTATATGGACATTATAGATATATCTCTAGACAGAGAATAAATTTACCTTTGTTTTTGTTTGAGGAGTTCCTCGTTTAGCCGTAGCAGTGCTCCCAAATCCAAATTTTGGCTTCTTTTCTGCAGGCTTCAGTATTTGAAATGAGCACATTAAAGTTTCATCCACACTCATCATGGCACCAGCATTGTCAAATTCTCCACAGTAATTGGGGGCTGAGAATATTGTGACAAGCTGTCTATCAGCAAAAAACTCATAACCATCTTCAACAACCTGTACTAAATTAAGCGGCTAAATTAGTCACAAAGATTGTATATTAGTGTAGAATAGTATGAAAAATCAACATTTAACCTGATGGGCACGGCATATAAGATCAAGATCATGCTTTTGAAGGAATTCGGTTACCGTATCAGGACCGAATGTATAGGAAACTCCCCTATCACTCATTCCCCACCCTTTGACATCTTTACTGGGATCTGACCATAGTAGATCACAAAGTAAACCAGTTTCTGGAACATCAATTGGACGTTGCATATTTCTAATTTGATTCAGATCATGCAGATCAGGAGAGAGTCCTCCATGCATGCACAATATCTTTTCATCTATAACAGCTGCCACAGGTAGGCAATTAAAACAATCTGTGAATGTTTTCCATAGCTTCACATTAAATCTTCTTTTGCACTCATCATAAAATCCATATATACGATTTACTGATGCACATTCATGGTTTCCCCTCAAAAGGAAGAAATTTTCAGGATACTTAATCTTATAGGCAAGTAGAAGACAGATTGTTTCCAGATTTTGCTTCCCGCGGTCCACATAATCCCCCAAGAATAAGTAATTAGATTTGGGGGGTAATCCACCATATTCAAAGAGTCTAAGAAGATCAGAATATTGACCATGAATGTCTCCTGCAAAATATTTAATTTAAAAGTCAAATTAGATTGAAATTCAAATTGTTTGATAAGAAGTACAAATATTAGTTCAATCAACATAAGCAGATGTAGATCAATTAAAGCCACAACAGATGTTTGTCCCATTTGGAAGCTTTTAACTAAAAGTTAAATATAAAACAACCAGCAAAACCTTATTCCATACAAACTAAAATGTAAAAACACCAATACAGAATATGAAGGAATACCATTTGAGAAACTGTGAAAAGTCAAAACAAATTCAGTTTTGGGCCAATGGAGTGTAATAAATGATAATCACATTATGATGAGCCAATCTGGCAATGACATCATACATATTGGGAATTCCCTGCATAGTAAACCATGTGAACCATATTAATTTGTGCACATAGAGTACAGTTTAATTCACAAACACAAGCATTTAAGTTCCATTTTTCCATTGGCAAAAGACCCTCGTAAAAATATATCAAGCAGCATCTAGCTTTGTTTTCAAAGAAAAGAAGCTAATATAAATGGGCCTTATAACTAGTCTTTCATGAACTCTGCCTGTGACAAGCATCAAGAAACTAAAAAGCTTTTCTTACAATCCAAAGAAAGTAGAATATGTAGCATCAATAAATCTTTTCAACAATATTTCTTCACATTGGCTTCAAGAAAATTGAAAATCCTCAAAGATTGATTAAAGCAATAAACTGATTCCTGAAGAGTCCATCAACATTTCTTTTGGTCATCATTACCAGATGAGACCAGACCAACCATCAATACATTCCCTCGCCTTTTGCCATTTATGAAAATTCTGGTTCATGTTAACTACTTCTATTGTCTATTTCCCCGGACAACTTCTCAAAATGGGTTTTTGCCCACTTTATCTACATTGTGAATATATATTTATTGAGAGAAGAGAATGGCTTTAGAACTTGAATTTGATTTCATTCTTCACCAGATCCTCAAACCTAACATTTTCAAAGCACCCTTATCGTAGTTTCAGTTTGCCTATGAAGATGTTGAGTTCTCTTTAACACCTATCTTTAAATCAATTCTGATCATCACTACTAAAAATGGAACTCATTCATTAAAATTTCTTTTAAAGGATTATGTGTGTGTGTGTGTGTGTGTGTATATATATATATATTCATTTGCAGTCAAGAAATAGGACAATCATTCATACTCAAAACAAATCAACTTTAATATACTGGAATCACTTCCATGTTTTTGGTTTAAAGGTAATGATTAGTTCTCAGGATTTATATTTATTGTCTAAGAAAAGAAATGCAGCAGAAATATTATGATACTTAAAATCCATATAATGTATCCTCTCTATATGACAGAAAAGATTCCCTTGTTAGTTGACGCGGATAGTGGTGAGGGATCTTAGATAAGGCGGCTAGACTAATGCAATGAACCTAAAAAGTTGGAGTATCTGGTAAATTATGACAGGATGGGAAGACAGAAATTGATAATGAGATAGGGAAAGAAACTATAAGCTTCTTTGAGAAGTGTATATAAATAAATAGAAATGAGTGGATAAGTGAGCTCGTACTTGTGGATCCCATGTGTGGATTAAAAATGAAATGACCGCTATAAACATTAGCTATACTATCAAGAGATTTATTTTTATTTTTCTTTATTTTTTCCAAAAGGTATTTTATCACCCAATTGAAGTAATATGGTGGAGTTTACAATGAAATTATGAATTAAAATAATAATAATAATAATTCGGTGATGGCAATTATTTTTATCTCCAATGATTCCTTTTCATCTTTAAGTAGAGAAATAATTAAGAATCTGAAATGAAAAATCCAACATCTTGCATTATCTACATAATGTAATATAAACTTCACTCATAATTACACTATTCCGGGATTGTTCAAAGTTATGTAAACATTCAATTCCCTTATCTGAGCATCGCTTAAACAATAGAAGAAAATTAAGGAACATTAGATATTCATTAAACTAATCTAAAAGAAGAATTTCGTATAAAACAGCTGGTGCCATGACCAAAGCATGTCACCTAGTCCTACAGAGAATTTTTCTATTCTTCTTCCGAAGTTATTCCTTCCTCCCCTCATTTTTTTCCTTCTTTTCTTTTCGATAAACCAGAGTTATGAAAGAGAAAGACTGTAAAAGGCTTGAAGACAAGTAGTCCTCCAAACAGAACAAAATAATACATAAAAAATAAGTTTCTCCCGTTCATCAAAATTACAATAAACAAACTTTATTGTTCAAATAAACAACACACACACACAGACAGAGACAATCTCATAAATGCCAAGCTTTCACAGAGAACCACTAACAATTAAAGAAAAAGAATGCATATAAATGTATTACTTGTGGAGCACCATTCACACAGGAAGAATAATCATTGTGCAGCTCTTTTAACTCCATCTTTGCAGTCCTTATATCATAACACTTATCTGGGTTAAATACAATAGCTCCTTTTTATATGCATTTTATAGCTTATGATTTACCATATAATTCTTGTATAGGTAAAATCCATTCCGTCACTTCGTGGAATGGATTTGACCCATGTGGAATGGGTCATTAAACGTTCAATTCCCTTATCTGGGCATTGCTTAAACAATTGAAGAAAATTTAGGAACATTAGATATTCATTAAACTAATCTAAAAGAAGAATTTCGTGTACAACAGCTGGTGCCATGACCAAAGTATGTCGCTTATTCCTACAGAGAATTTTTCTATTCTTCTTCCGAAGTTCTTCCTTCCTCCCCTCATTTGTTCCTTCTTGTCTTTTCAATAAACCAGAGTTATGAAAGAGAAAGACTGTAAAAAACTTGAAGACAAGTAGTCCTCCAAACAGAACAAAATAATACGTTAAAAAAAAAAATTTCTCCTGTTCATCAAAATTACAATAAACAAACTTTATTGTTCAAATAAACAACACAAACACACAGAGAGACAATCTCATAAATGCCAAGCTTTCACAGAAATCCACTAACAATTAAAGAAAAAGAATGCATATAAAATGTATTACTTGTGGAGCACCATTCACACAGGAAGAATAATCATTATGCAGCTCTTCTAACTCCATCTTTGCATTCTTTATATCATCACTTCTCTAGGTTAAATAAAATAGCTCCTTTTAATATGAATTTTATAGCTTATAATTTACCATATAATCTTGTATGGGTCAAATCCATTCCATCACTTTGTGGAATGGATTTCACCCATAATATCAGCCTTAACTATTAAGTTGTGTTTGATAGGGTGGAATTGGAATTGAAAATGGAATTGGAATTGGATTTTCCAACTTTAGGTGTTTGATACATTTTTCTTCTATGGCATTCATTTTTTTTTTTTTTTTTTTTTTTTTTGCCAATAGAAACAAATTTTATCCATGATTGTAAAAAAAATATTTTTCTTTAATTGACAATTTTCATGTAAAACAAAGTCAAACAAATACTAAAATATAAATGATTTTTGATTTTATTTATTTATTTATTTTTTTGGCAATGAAAATAAATTCTATCCCCAATACCAGTAAATTATATCACTTTAATTAACAATTTTTATATAAAACAGAGTCAAACGAACACCAAAAATCACTTTCATTTCAACATTTTTCACGTGGAAAATTATACCAATCAAATTCAATAATTTACAAATCCCAGGACAACAATTCTAGATAATTCAATTCCCTGAAATTCGTTTTCTAAACAATTCAATTCCATCTTTGCAATCAAACAGACCCTTAATAAAAAGAGACTTACATATTAATAATAAGACGGCACCATAATATTTGTCCTACACCAAGGCCCAAGAGAACTATAACTGTTAATCATTAGATGATGCTTGATATATAATTATTTTGAACTCAACATTTGTTGCAAAATTAAATAACATCAACAATAATAATAATAATAATAATAATAATATTAATAATAATAATAATAATAAAGAAATTAACAAATTCAATACATGTAAAGTAGAATTCAGTGATAAGACAATAGGTTCACATTTGATGTAACAAATAATGAGAAAAAAGGCCAACAAGGTTAGGTTATTGCAACATCAAGGCTCATGAGAACTGTAACAATTATTCTACTACAATTATCAAATGATGCTTGATATGTAATTATTTTGAACTCGACATTTGTTGCAAAATTGGAAAAAAAATAAAAATAAAAATAAAAATAAAAATAAATAAAATTCACAACTTCAGCATGTATAACATAGAATTCAGTGAAAAGACAATAAGTTCATATTTGATGCAATAAATGATAAGAAAACATGCCAACAAGTGGAGGTTATGACACGTCTTTGTTAACTAAAGAGGTTATGTCATGTCTTTTGTACTCCACAAGGGCGATGCAATCGTACAGAACAGATTATAAGGAGGACCAAACCAAATTTTATTGTGGTTGTCGAGGATAGTAGTTTGGGTCTTACAGTAGTTATAACAATGAAAAGGCAAAAAAGAATTCATGTAGACGTCAAAATGTATCCAAGTTAAACCTTTGTGGCTTTGTTTCAAGATAGTTGTAAACATTAGCAGTATTACCCTCACCTAGGAAGCACCAACATGGACAATGAGTAAACAACATGCAATTTTTCAAAAAAGTAATAACATGACACGTCCTGACAGGCTGACAAGCTGATTGAAATAATATTAATTTTTTTATAATGTAAAGTGAATTCTTTTTGGTTAATACTGGCATGTTGACAAATGAAACTACAACATGTCAGCAATGTATCTCTTGACGTGTTGGTGACATGTCGAACTGTACATGTCACCGGGCATTCCAACACACGTCTGCAATGTGTCGATATTTGACAGCAACTCGGTGGGGGCAGAAAGGTGGAGAGTGTTGGTGCATCCAAGTAAATTGCCCAATAGGAATGTACGATAACGAAAGAATTAGGAGTTATCAAAATAAAAGAAGGCAACCTACTGTCAGACAACCTGGAACAGAATTGTTAAGTGTTTGCCAAAAGACTCTCTCCTCATTCAATCTTTACAAACCCCAAGCACCCAAGGTTTTTTTCAAGCTTGTCACTCACCTTTCTATTTGGACTTTAATGACTGTCATAGTCATTGTTTAATTTATCTTCCTCATGACTAACAGTGGTGACATGTAATAGTGGTAGGAACCACAAAGCCAGTCGATGCACAGGAATGAAGTTATTTGACAACATAGAGTGCACTAAGCAAGATAAGCATTCAACATAGAGTTATTGTTTGTCTTACTCACGACTAACCATGGTGACATGTAATAGTGGTTCATACCACATAAGCCAGCCGATGCACAGGAATGGAGTTATTTGACAACATAGAGTGCACTAAGCAAGATAAGCATTCAATAGTAATGGAAAGGAGATGTTACCCAAATATTTTGACCAAGGTGATCAAAGACAAGTGTCCTATCATATTCTATCCTCAGGCCAACATGTATGCATAACACATGGACTCCATGTACCAGATTCCAGTTTAACATGAAAAGACTAATTATAGTTCCTTCAAGCAAATGGTGAATGAACAATTACAGAATCAAGCTCATTTAAACTCCTTCAACAACTATCTCCGATCTACCAAGCATTTACAACTAAAAAGGGGCTCTCTTAGCTCAAAATAACCATCAAAAGCAATTTTATATTTCCAGCATGTGCTTGAATATTTAGAAATTCCCAATATTTCTAGAATCCCACTTTCAGTCATAGCCCTTAACATCCTATAGCATCATTACCCGCACTGAAAGCGCATATTCTATATGCACAAACTTAGGAATTTCCCCTGCCGGACATACAAGCTAAAAATAACAAAGATCATTCAAGTGAACTACCCAAATAAAAATATAAAATAAAAGAAAAGCTCCCCCTCAAAAAATAAAAAAAATAATAATAATGATGATTCAACTTTAACCCAAATGAACATCACAAAATCACAACAAAACAAAACTCAACTTTAAGAACATGGAGAAAAGCAAAAAGTTGAAGGAAAATTTACCACAGATCTTAATGGGTGCCTCAAGCTCAAGAAGATTAGTCTGTTGCAAGAAAATCTCTTTAGACTGCAAACAAAGCTGCTTGATCTCTGACTCCGAGAGCTGCACTTGCTTCCCCGGCTTCTCTTTAACCTCAAGCAAATGATTAATTACATAATCAAGAGCGGCAGAATCCATTTTTTTCCTTCTCTTCCTTTACTATGTTTCTACGAAGAGAAAAGTTATAGTTTTCTTGATGTTGTGTGTCATCGAGAACAAGGGTCTGTCATCTGTGGGTTCTTGGAGTGTTTACGGTTTAGATTTGTGGTGTAGCCCTTTTTGTGGAAATTTTAGCTATGGTTTAGAAGATGCTTTTGGGGGTTACATTCGTGATTCGTGCTTATGGACGTCTGTGGAAAATAAAGGGGTGGACCGGCAGCCGTAATGCAGACGAGTCGTCTCTTTAATATTACGAAGGAGAATTTAAAATTCCATTCCTATGTCATTCCCATTATTTTTAAAATACATTTTTCTCTATTTTATTTTTAATCACATATTTTTTATTAAAATATATTACACACAAATTCAAATTTTTTTAACCATATATTTTCCATCAAATTACCATTACAAAATGCATTTTTGATAAATAATGGGAATCATCCAGGTCCTAAATTACATTCCATTACATTCAATTTTTATCTCTTCTATTTTTAACCTCACAATCTTCCAGAAAATAATGTTATAGGTAAGTCGAAAATTTTTCCTTTTTATTCAACCATCCATTTTTCAAAAAAATACTATTCCACTCATTTTCACTTTCAAAAAATAGGGGCCATACGGGAAAAATCTTCCATTATCACTATAAAATATCAAGCCACAATTAAAATATATTTTCAATATGTACATCACAATAAAAACACAATTATACTGCTAATTCAATAAAATCTAAAAATGAGAAAAAATTATAGTATTGTGGTATATTCATTATACGACAAATTTCGTGTGTTAAAATACATAAATTGTTACAGATTGTATTGTATTTTTTGAGAAATACAAGTGGATATTAATTTCATAGTTCAGGGTGTATTGTTTACACCAATTCACAAATCAGGTACATAACTCAAAAATTCAAAATTTAGGTATATATATAATTAATTGAAAATATTTATTAATTAAATATAATAAAGTCATAGTTATACGATTAATGGTCACGGATTCATAATTATATGTCACAAATTTATTTTTTGGTCACATAACATCAAATTAATTAGTCACGGATGATTTTGAAATCACAAATCTAAAATTTTGTAGGTTACGAATTATTTTAAGATCACAGATCCAAATTTTACAGGTCTCAAATTACCTCGAAGTCAAATTAATTGGTAACACTTAAACAGTTGGTCACAGATAACTAAATGATTGGTCACATGCGTCAAATAGTGGTCACATAGCAGCACAAAACATCCACCACACAAACACTATCACCATCAGCATACAAAACACCATCTAAACCCCACCCAAACCGCCAGATCTATCACCACAAAATCACCATCACCACCACCACACAAAACACCATCCAAACCCACAAAATCACCACCAACCCAAACTACTTCTGCTTTGCGTGGGTTGTTACAGTGTTCCGACGATTTCATTTCACCACTGGAGTGGTGGATCTACTTCGCGATTTCATTTCACTACCTCAATTCGTGGTGATTCACGAAGGGAAAAGTGCGACGGCGTGGTACTTCTTCATTACAGTAGCACCAGCGAAGGGTACTCCAGCAACGACATGCTCCGATGGCGGAAGCGTCTAATAGAGCGGAGACGTGCGATGGAGTCAGGGAGATGAAGAGAGGGAGATGAAGAGAAGGAGTCAGTTACGAGAATGAGATGGAGAGTGAGAGTGAGAGTGAAATGAAGAGAGATGGGAAATGATTAGGGTTTTTAATTGAATTGAGTGGTTTAATTATATATAATACTTGATTTTTGCATAAATAAATTTCACCCCTGAATTTTGAATTTGAAAGTTTTAGTACCTGGTTTTCTGTAATTTCCTCAAAATTTAATTGGACTAATTATTTAGATCAATCCAATCCAATTTATTTAATTTTTTTATGTCTATAAATGGATTATATATATATATATATATATATATATATATATATAATTTAGAATTTGTTTTGAACTTGAACTTCCCATTAGTAAACTAATACAAATAAAAATTTGGGAATAAACTATAAATTTGATTTAGAATAAAATTTTTATCCTTCAAATTTGAGAGCAATGATTTTTTTTATGTGAATTTTATTTGATTATTTATTTATTTTATACAATCAGTAACTAATTCAATTTTTGAACAAGCCTTATATCCTTAACGGTAAATGGGCTTAAGTGAAGTCCGATACACGCCTACTCATATGAACGAATTATGAGATTTAAAAACAAGTATGTCAAATTTAAAAACAAAGGTCAAGAAATTAGGTTACTTCTCTCTCTCTCTCTCTCTCAATTTTTGTTATTTGTAGTTTTGGTCGTCGACAGAAACAAAAATCAATTGGATTCCAATTGGTCACTTTGATTTCTGCCATGGAAGAAACCTTTATAATTTCAATCTTTTTTGTTTCTTTTTCTTTTTGTTTCCTTTTCTTTTTCTTTTTTCAATTTCTTTTCATTTCTATTCTTCTTCTTTTTTTTTTTAATTGATATTTTATTTTACCCATTTTTCGGTTGCTTATTATTATTGTTGTTGTTGTTGTTTTAATAAAATTGAAACTAATATTCTTCATTATTTTTTATTCAGGGACTCAATTTTTGAAGCAAATCAAGAATTTTAAAGTTTGAGATTTCCTTAGTGTAGAGTTTAATTTTTTTTATTTTTTTTTTGGGCAACCATTTTAGGAGTTCAAAAAATATTTGTTTATGAACAGACTTAAAATTTCAACCCTTTTCGTACCCATTAAGGAATAATGGCTTTCAACTTTCACTATGCAAAGCACTTTATGTTGAGAACTAAGGACCGTCTTCTTTGACCGTTCAAGGCATTTTGTATTGAGGACAAAAGGACGAGCTCCTTCAACCATCAAATGCACTTTATGTTAGGACTAAAAATCGTCTCCTTTGACCAGGCACTTTGTTTGTGTTAGGGACAAGGACTTAATCCTTCGATCATCCAATGCACTTCATGTTGAGGACAAATGACTGCCCTTTCAACCGTCCAAGACACTTTATATTGAGGACCAAAGATCGACTTCTTCGACCGTCCAATACACTTATTGTTGAGACCAAGGACCGACTCCTTCGACTATCTTTGACACTTTATGTTTAGGATCAAGGACCGACTCCTTCAACTGTCCAATGCACTTTATGTAGAAGCCATTTATATATTTGGGAGATTCGTAATTTTAGACATTAAAAGAAGGGAAAATTGCAACAGAGGCCCCAAACCTTTAAAACATTACCAGACTTTCCCCAAACTTTTAATTTGTTACAACCGTCACCCCAAACCTTTAGAAACATTAATTGATCAAAAAATTTGACTTTGACCATATTTTTAATATTTTTGAAAGGGTAAAATATTAACTTTTCATTTATTACATTAAAATAAGTTAGAAATTAAATTAAAAAAAGAAATTAGAAAATAAAAACCAATTATCTTCTTCCTTCCTTCCTTCCTTCCACCCCACTCCACCCACCCCTACCCCCAACCCAAAATCAATTCCTGACCACCGCCATCTCCACCTCCACCTCCATATCCATCCCCAACCATAAAAATCCAAACCAAAATGTAACCCATAGAAATATAAAGACAAAGAAACCAAAATGTAACCCACAGGCCAAAGATCTATGGTTCAAAAAATGGATTTTTTGAAGGTCACTTCAAATATTAAGGATGTACGCTAAAATCAATGGAATGTTTCACAATCATATATGCTACTTCCTCTGCAATTTTCCAAGGGCTGCTGATTTTTTGTTGCAGTAATGGGAAAAAATCATCGGCTTTGAAGAGAGTCAACCACCCATAAAATCTCAATCTCTTCATAATCCTCATTCTTCCCTTCCAAGCTTATTTCTGTGGATTTGGGTTTTTATGGCTGGGAATGGAGGTGGAGATGGAGGTGGTGGTGGTCGGGAATTGATTTTTGGGCTGGGGGTGGGGTGGGGTGGAGTGGGGTGGGAGGAAGAAGATGATTGGTTTTTATTTTCTAATTTCTTTTATTTTTAATTTAATTTCTAACTTATTTTAATGTAATAAATGAAAAGTTACTATTTTACCCCTTCAAAAATATTAAAAATGGTCAAAGTCAAAATTTTTGGTCAACTAACAGACTTTTGGATGAAAATCGTTAAAAAGGGCCTCCGCCGCAACGTTTTGAAAGGTTTGGGGTGACGGTTGCAATAAATTAAAGGTTTGAAAAAAGTCTGCTAATGTTTTAAAGGTTTGGAGCCTCTGCTGCAATTTTTCCTTAAAAGAATTTGGAAGATTTACTCTCCTTTTTTGTTTGCTAATTTTATCTTTCCTTTTTTAGGAATGGCTGGAACAAATTCTAATGATAGAGTACATATGATATATATGAAATTGTTGAGCTTGAAAATCCTGCCTTCGTCTACTTGGCATATGAGATGAACTTAAATTTGGCATCCATAAGCCAACGATAGATCATTCTCATGACCTTCTGGAGCCTTTGTCGGAGTTGCATATGCCCATCATTGGTGAATGTCACAATAAATTAGAAGCTCCCAAGTCCAATCACTCTAACAGTCATATTCCCTTTCTATGTCTTTCACCTCATTATTCCTAGAGCATGGAGTGCATCCTAAGGGCCATAATTTGTGAGAGGACTGATAATAAAGAAATACGATGTGGAAGTGTACCTGTCAGTCGTGGAGAGATTTCCTTTCCTCCAAAGTTTTGGAAGTGGTTTCATGGGTCCAAAAACTCCTACTCAAGAGGAATCTTCATAAGTTAGCATTTGCATTCAGCTCTGTTACAAAAGATTATTATCGTCTAAACTCTATCTACAAAGTTTTTTGTGAGGTTTGATATTCAGAAACCAATACTTTTGTGACTGCTAGTGGTGAAATTGGCATTTATCTTTAAAAAAATAATAAGTAGACTTTCTATCATAGGTCACTACTATAAAGAAGTAGTCTCAAGCATTTCAGATTTGACGAATCACCTCCCCAAGTCTTATATGTACCTCTTCAATGTTTTCGCATTGATTGCCAATGCGATTGAATCTAATGGCGCCAATCATGAAGATTAGGTTAATTTTTGGTTTTATGAGAATGGTTGTACCTAGAACCCTCGATAAAATAAAAATTATAAGAATGCTATAAACTCAAATCCATTCAAGAGGCGTCATCAAAGAGTATCAAAGGAAATACGGAGGCCTGTGGTGGTAGACAAGCCAAGAAATATTTCTCAAAGTAATT